TAATGTGAGGGTGGGAAGGGCCCCTTGCGGGCGCTGGTTCCGTCCGCGTCTTTGAGGGAGTAATTCCGGAGCCCCCCGGCCCTCGCTTCCTGCCCAACGCTGACTCCTGACGTGTGTTATCGGTCACCCGTCGGCACCCAGTCGCAAGCCTGTGGACCTCTCTGTTTAGAATAGTGAAAAGATGTTGAAAGTAAGGAAATATGAAAATAAATATATAAAATGTGTAAACATAGAAAAGATGGGAAAACAGGAGTTAGTACACAAGAATCGAGATTTTGTTTTCATCTCAAGATTGGAAAGTTCTCTGCTTTTTCCTGAAGGCTTGCACGTGCCAGCGGGCCCTCCTGGTCATCTCCAGTGTGGGCTCTAGACACCGAGTTGGCGTGGGCCTCGCAAAAGGCTCACTGAGGATGTGTTCCTTGGGGGCGGGGACCCCACCCTCTGACACCCTCATCTCATCCCCTCACGGGTGCGCGCAGACCTGAGCTTGGACCGTCACTTCCTTCTGTGGCCGCAGGGTGGGGGCCTGAGTCGCCCCTCACCCCGGGTGGGCTTCAAGGGTGAACCCACGCCCGTGCTTGCCGAGGACGTTCTCTGCGTACTTGCTGCATTGGGGCTGGGACCCCCCAGAGGGCTGTGTCCTCCCTGATTCCCCTCGAGCTCGTCCCCGGAGGCCTCCATGGCCCCCTGCCGGGGTCCGTCTCGGGAAGCCCATCCCTGGGCCGCAGGGTCAGAGATCTTAAGATCTCTCCTACAGATCCCCCAGCTTCTTCCCGGGACTCCCAGCACCCGCAGGTGTTAGGGGATCTGCTCCCGTCCTACTGCGCTCTGGGCCACTGGCTCCTGCAGAGGCCTGGGGGCTGGCTGTGCGTGGGGACAGGCAGGGTTTGTCGTTACGCCGTGCCGGGATGTCAGGGTGTCTCTGCTCTTAGGTCTTCTCTGTGTCTCGGGTGGTTTTACGTCAGCTGCACGGCTGCTCGGCCGCTCTAGACCGTTCCTGCTTCTCTACGCCGGATTCTGTTTTCAACAGCGAGAATCAAAGCAGCTTTATTTCTTGCTTTTATAACTGTCACCCGCATCCGCTGCCCAGCGCGCACCACGCAGACCTGCAGCTGAGCAGCCGGAGCTCTACAGATGCTTGAAGGCAGACGGCCGGGGTCCTACCCCCACACCCACCACCCCACAAGGCCATTGGCCCTGAAACACAGGACCCAGTCTGTCGGCCTGGCCCTCTTCCCATGTCTGAGGCCCGGAAGCCCATGTGGTCACCTGTTGGGCAGTGACAAAACCGTGGGTCGGTGTTGGCTGACATGGGTCCAGAAATATGGTTACCTCCACATACTGCTTTCCCCTGGTGGAAGTCTGAGGACACGGCCGTCACTCGCCCCTCGGCGGCCGTCCCAGAGTGTCGGGTGACAAGAAGGAAGGGGACTCTGGCTTTGACTCAGAGAGCGGTTTTATATGTGATCGTGGGAGAAGTCCCGAAGGTGCACTGATGTCTGTTTGAAGGAAAAAAGAAACCGTAATTTCTAAACAAAAAGCTTCTGTTTTTAAAAATAAGGACGTTTCATAGAAAGTGAGGAACACGTTCATCTTGAAAGACCGCTGGTCGGATGATTGTAAAGGACACAGTCTCCACCAGGCTCCTGAGAGCCCGCGGTGTTCAGGGTGGGTTGCTCAAGCCCGTCCACAGCCTGGGTGTGCGGCCACGGCGGAGACCAAGGTCAGTGACCGTGGACACTCAAATGTCCGCACTGCAGCTCCAGACCAGGATTAGGACTCAAGTGCTTTCCCAGACGTCTAATCGGTCACCAAGGGTGTTCCTTAGATTCTGCAGATTAATGGGATCGACAGCATCTTCAGGCTAAGCTCCTGGTTTGGTTTTGCCACGGGTTAGTAACTAAATTGACATAGTAATTTCGCCTGCAGCTTTGGAAGGGCAGCGTGGTTTCCTCTGTCCCTGCACATGTGTCTCCGGGCCCTGTGAGCGTCTGCCCGAGACAGAAGCCGGACACTCGCCGTCCCCAAGCTCCTGGGGGCTGTCCATGCGTGGTGCCTCCGGTCCGAGGCTTCCGAGGGCCAGTCCGCCCTGGGCTGGAGAGCACAGTGTGTGGACGGCAGACCTGCATGAACAGTGCTGCGTTTTAACAACACAAGCTGTGGGGGGCCGTGGAGCTGCCCCGGGGCAGCTGTGCAGGGAGAGGAAGAGACGAGTCGTGGCTGAGGGTCCTGACTGTTGTGGGGCATCTGTCCTGTCGGCGCACGGCCCTATGAGGCCCCAGGGTTCCGGGGCACACGCAGGTCTGCAGCCCGAGCGGCGGCCGGGGGCGCAGAGACGGGGGATGCGGGAGAAGCCGCGTGGCTTGGGGGTGGCCCCCTTCTGCCCCAGGCCTGTCGCTGCTTCGATTCGGTTTTGAGGCTGCGCCCCTGTCTCGGTGACGTTTCCCTTCCTGTATTTCTGTCACTTCCATGTGGTGAAAACTCCCTCAAAGGGTTCTGAACTTTTTCCTTCTGATTTCTTCTTGCTTTACATTTTCATTTGCCTTTTTGTCTCAGAAATAGCTTTGAGCTGCAGTCCCCCTGTGTCAGGGACAAACAGCACATTGACATGCAGGACGGGGCGGCTGGGGTGCTAAGGCCCGGCCCCTCCCCCCACTCCCACCCCCAGGCCAACACTGCAGCTCCCGGAAACCCTGGCCCTGAAGGGACTGTGGGACTGTGCTCCCCAAGCCCCACCTTCCTCCCTGATTCCGACGCAGCCCCCACACCCCTGCGTCCCTGGCACAGTCCTCTGAGCAGTAGGCGCGGGGCTCCTGGAGTCCAGGGTAGATCACGACCCCGTGGTCCGCCCAGGTCAGGCCAGGACTCGGAACACGCGCTCCGTCCCCTGTGGCTGCTACCGTGGGCCCAGCTCCTCGGCCGGGGTCTCAGCAAGCATCTGTGCAGCCGGCACGTGGCGTGGCCAGAACCCCGACAAGCGGACCCCTGTGCACCACAGCCCTGCACGGAGCCACCGGGCGGGGCGGGGAATGCCTCTCGAGGAAGGCCTCGCGGGGGAGGCGGCTCTGTCTTCCAGACACAAACTCCGTTGAGGTTTATTTTCTTTATTTAAAAGGAAGTTCAGTGTCTTTCCATGTAAGAAGGAGGAGTGTCTTTTCGGGACCACAGCTCCTCTGAGCGGCAGAACACCGACCTCGCCTACGCGGGCAGATCCCAGCGAGGCAGGCCGTTTCGTGAACGGTAAAAAGGATCTTTAGCAGGACTGATCTCATAGTTCTTGGTTTAGAAGCAAATTCAGCTTGTATGTCAACTCCTTTGTGCATCGAAGGATTCTAACGTTTCCACACGCCCCGAGTCCGGTTTCCTGACGGTCGGGTCGTTTCCGGTTAGGGACTGCGTGCTGCTTCGCTCCGTTTGGGCGATGTGGCTAAATCAGCAGCAAGCACAGAGCTGGGTGTGTCCCCGCCAAGGTCATGGCCCCCACGCAGGACGCTCGCGCCGGCTTTCTTAGAGCTGCTCCCACTGAGCGTCATTCAACAGCCGGGCGTTTCCCAGACCCCCAGGGTCTTCCTCACCCCCAGCCCAGCCCTCCATGGGCTGTCTCCAGGCTAACAGGCTGTGGGGGTCCTGGGGACCAGGCCCAGCGGGCCCCCGGGACGGGGGTAGGGGGCGGTCTGTCATGCACCCCCCACCCCACGCTCCTGAGCAGGGAGCCCATCTGCCTGTCCTCTCCTTCCTAGAAGCCTCCAGTCCTGCCGTTCACAGATTCGCTGCCCCAACCCTCCAAGGAGGCCGGCGTCCTCTCCCAGCCGGAGTGCGGGTGGCGCAGGGGGTGCCCGGGTCTGGGTCATGTGTGACACGCCCGCAGCCTCCCAGGGGGAAGAGCTAAGTAGACCATTGTTTTTTCTTGAAAAGTAGCATCCTCCCAAGGGTGAGCGTTTCCCCATGGAGTAGCAGCCGCTTTTTCAGCTGCCGCCCTGCTGTCCCTCTCCGGAGTGCTCACAGCTGTCCCTGGCTTGTGTACTTGATGAGGGGGACCGACCTAAACAGACTCCCGCTGTCGGCCGCCGCCAAGTGCTCACACAGTCACGCCAGAAACTCAGGTGTCAGCAGGACACAGACAAAAGCAGAGTGTGGTGACCACAGAGCTGGCTGGTGTCCGAGTGACCAGTCCCCGGAGCGCAGCACCACCGTCCCACGCAGGCCCTGTCCTCCCGCATCCAGAGGAGACAGCCCTGCTGCTGGCCTCCCTCCTCCTCCTCCTGAAGCGGGTGGGGCAACGCCCCAGCTGGTGCCCGTGTGCGGCCTGTGTGGGGAGGAGGGGCTGCCGCACGTGGGGTCTGGCAGGTGAGGGGTGCTGGGGGATGAGCCGCCGTAAACAGGTGTTCTGAGCTGGGGCGGGGTCTCTGGGCTCCGGCCTCCAGCAGTGAGACCTTGGGGCACCTTTGATGCTGCAAGCACGGGGACCTCGGCTGTGACTGACCGGTCACAGCGGACCCCTGGGGCGTCCCCGGGATGGGGGTGAATGCCCGTGAAGGTCTTCGCCTCACACAGGGGCGCAATGAGTGTTAGAGCCTGTCATTTACAATAATCACGATCCAGAACGGGGGCCTGGGGGGCTCTGCTGGTCGAGCGTCCCACCCCTGGTTCTGGCTCAGGTCATGATCTCCCGGGCGGTGGGATCACGGTCGGTCGGGCTCTGCTCTCGGTGGGGGTCTGCTTGAGGGCTGCGTCCCCCTTGCTCTGCCCCGCTGCCCCTCGCGTGCCTACGCTCACTCACGCGCTCTCTCAAATAAATACATAAATCTTTTAAAAAACCGTGCTCCAAATCAACACGCGTGTGGCAGCGTGCGCAATGACCTTTCACCTGCGCTCGATGGGGTGCGCCCGCACAGTTCCCAAATCTTCCCTGGTTTCTTTTTGTTGTTGCAGAGAAAGATCTTTTACTCTGTGGGTTTTGTGAAATATGGGGGGAAAATATGTCTGTACTTTCTCTTTAGGTTGTCCTGGTGCCAAAAAGAATGAGTTCCTGACGAGCATTTTGGACGCGCTGTCCACCGACATGGTCCACGCGGTCTCCGACCCCTCCTCCTCTGGCAGGTAGGGCACGCTCCGCAGCGGAGCGGGAGCCTCGAGGAAGCCCCAGGTGTCGGAAAGCCGGAAGCCCGTGCGGCCGTTAGGCTCCCGAGGCTGCTCAGCTTCTCCGGACCCTGCAGGGCTCTGGGAAGCGAGTCCTTTCCCAACACGCCCCCCGCTCCGTGGGTCTAGAGGTGGTTGGTCCAGCTGCTCTCCCTGGAATGCGGTTACACCACCAAGGGCTGTGTCACCACGGGAAGAGCTGGAACCTGGGGTTCCCAGTGGTCCCATCAGGCGGTGGCAGGTGGGACAGGAACAGAAGTCAGGGACCCTCACTCTGCTGGCTTCAAGCCTTGGAAATGCGTTTTTGAGTTATTGAGTAGATTTTAATACTTGGAATTGAAGTGTCTGATTTCAAGTTTTCAACATGCTACGTATTTATGGTAGAAAAACCCATACAACGTGCGACTTACCGTCCTGGGATTCAAGTGCACAATCAGTGGCATTATTTACACAGACGCGGCTCAGGGGTGACTCCTGAAACCTGGGCCGGTTCTCTCTGGAAGCGCGGCAGACGTTCTGCGGGTGTGGGCCTGGGGTTTTGAGCCGAGCTCCTGTAGGGCCCCCGAAGTCTTCTGTCCTGCAGCTCCCTGCACTGGACCCCTGAGGATTAGTGAGTCCGTCCCTTTCTTCTAAGAGGCTTTTTCCGAGGGAGAATCTTCCTATTTCCTTAGTGCGCTGGCCTTCCTCCCCACTTCTGCCTGCAGAGCCTTGACCCTCCTGGCTCTTCTGATGATCTAAAGTGTCCTGGTCTCCTCAGCACAAGGCTCTCTCTGCCTCTCTTCTTAAGAGTAAGACTCAAGAAGAGGGAAAAGGCCATGCTAACAGAAAATGTCACAACCAAGCAGCAAATTAAGCTTAATAAAGCAAAAAATAAAATAAAGAAATAAAAAGGCCTACCTCTCCAGCTGACACACTCTTGGAAAGCTTGCTCTCATCTGAGGAGCTGGGCTTGAGGACAGTCAACGAATCACTGTCTGAGAAGCTCCTCCGAAGGCTGGAGGTGCTGGTGGCCCTTGAATGCTTGATACCTGTGTGGTTTTCACACTCGGGGGAACGCGGGCTCCTCGGGGGGGCGAGCCTAGACACAGATGCCAGCGGAGAGAGGGCCCGCAGGTGTCCGCACGCGTTCTTCTCCATCGTCCGCTGAGTGAGGAGGCATGTTTTAACATTTGGGACATTTTCCAAGATTTGACTCAAAGCAGAGCTTCTAGGAGAGTTTTAGTTATTGATATCTTAAAATACCAAACTTCTTTTTTAATCCAAGGGAAAATGTCTAGATGTATTTTTATTTGCTTCTTCCAGCCGCTCTGCAGGATTGAATAGAATGCCAGTGACTCGCACTTCGAGGAGTCAGGAACCTCAGGTCCGAGGGTTTGCTGGGGGCCGTGGCTAGGCCGGCTGACCCCCCCACTCCGTGGAGCATGGAACCCGGGGCAAGGAGGCTTCGGGCCTTAGAGACTCAGTCAACACCAAGTGTGTAATAAACACACGGAGTTCATTGTGCCATTTATAATTTTGAAACCAACTTAAAATGTTCTTGCTAAATTCCTTTCTTTAAATTATTTTTAAAAATTGCTCCATGGACGGCAGAACCCACACAGGGTTAGGCGTCAGCACCGTAACAGTGATGCACGGGGCTGCCTTCTGGGAGCGTCGGAGCGCACCCTGTGCCTCCAGCGGACGGTCAAGGGCAGGTGTCTGACGACCTTGCATGCTCTTCCAGGCTTTCCGAGCCCGACCCCAGCCACACGCTGGAGGAGCGAGTGGTCCACTGGTACTTCAAGCTACTGGACAAAAACTCCAGCGGGGACATCGGCAAGAAGGAGATTAAGCCCTTCAAGAGGTTCCTTCGGAAAAAGTCAAAACCCAAAAAATGTGTGAAGAAGTTTGTCGAGTACTGCGACGTGAACAACGACAAATCCATCTCCGTGCAGGAGCTGATGGGCTGTCTGGGGGTAACGAAAGCAGAAGGTAAAGCAAACCCAGAGAGACCCCCAGTAAGAGCCTTTCTCATTGTTCTTCGCTTTGCAGAGTGTCAGGTCCTGACGCCTGCTCGACCAGCTTCCTAGACAGTGTCGCTTGTCCCCTAGGTTGGGGGTGCCGCTTCCCCATAGGTCATTGTCCGTAGACGGAATCGTAGACCGTCGGGAACCTGGCCCACGTTGCAGGTCCCCTTCTCTCTGACTTGTCCCTGCGTCCCTTGTTTTTGTCATGATGGTCACCCAGCTTCATCCACCGCGATGGTTCCCGGCTGGATCTGGGCGATTGTGAAATGTACTTTGCCCAAGTCTCTAGGAGAAGTTCGTCTTAGACAATTCAGGCTTTATTTGGAAGAGTTGTGTGCAGGATCTCGGAGACCACTCGCACTCGATGGCGTCCTAGAAGTCGGCCAGCAGGGCTCCCCTTGCGGGGTGCGGGTGGAGAATGAGCACAGCTCACGGGTCTCCCAGTTTACAGAAAGCAGCCAGACACACCATGGGAGGTGACGATCCCTGCACGCATGGCCCTGGGACCAGGGAGGCAGTGCCGGGCTCAGGATGAGGAGCTGATGTCTGAGCACAGCCCTCAGGATGTTGGGAGGGAGACCAGGCGGGTGTCGTGGCCAGCACTGGGGACACTGTCCTGCCTCAGGCCCTTCGGGCATCTAAGAATCCAGCCGTTTCACTCATCTTGGTCAGAGAAAGCTGTGGTCCACCAGACCCTGGTTGTATGATGTCCTGGAGAACAGCCTGGTGTGGGTGAACCCCTACTGCCCTAAGAGGGGCTCGCTGTCTAGTCCCTGCTCCGGGGTGAGGAGAGTAGGGGTTAGTGGCCCAGTGAGGGAGCCCCACCGGTGGTTGTGCATGGGCTCTGGATGGATGGCTTTGCTCCAGAGGGAGTGTTGCTCTGTGTAGGAACTGGTCTGCCCTGATAGGGGCCATCCCCGGGGTCAGCAAGGCCCCAGCTGGGGAAGCATCGGGAAGTACAAGCATGATTGCTGTAGCTCCTGGACTGAACCGGCCCCAGGACTGGACTCACTGGAATCATCCAGGCCCTTCCTGACAACCTGATTTCCTCGGGTACCGGCAGGGCGTCTGGATGACTGGGTGAAGCCCAGTTCCTGACCGCGATGGTTGCACTCGGCTCCGTCCGCGTGGCCCCGCTGAGCCGTAGAGCAGAGGCAGGGATGTGGTCGCCGCGTGGGTTCGGATCCCGCAGGGAACCGCGTGCGACTGCGGGGCGGCTGGGCCGACATGGGAGGCCGCTGCCCATCCCCCAGGGTGACGCTGCCTCCCTGCTCAGGGGTCCCAGCAGGCAGTAGGCCGGGAGCACTGGGGCCGCATCCTTCCTGATGGGGAAGCCCCTTGCTGGGGAAGTGCGGAGTCGCACAGGAGGTGGGGGGTGGGGGGCCGCCCATTTGTGGGGAGACAGCTGCTCCAGGCGGTGGGGCTGGTCTGATGCTGGCCATGTCCTGGGAGTGGTCCCAGGGGTCTCTGTGCACCGGGCAGGCACAGGGGAGGAGAGAGTGTGTCTCCTGCGCCCGGGGAAGACGGCAGGGAGTGATGGAGCTCAGTGGGTCTCCCCTGACGCTGTCCTTCTTCACTAGAAACATCCGTGGCTTACGCTCCTCAGGCCAACAAATGTACAGAGTTTTACAGTCGTATTAGGAACCAAGGAGATGGCTGATGAACCCCCTCCTCCCCCCAAAAAGCCAGCTAAAATTTGGTGAAAGTGGCAATTTGGTCAAAAATAAGCATTGGTGATTTGAATTCATAACAAGTTGATTTCGCAACTCTTATTTTCCTGGAGGAATTTCTCTGTTTTCCTACTGTTATTTTCATTTTCAATTTTGATTCGTTCCTTCCTCCTGCCCTGTGTACTTTGAAATTGCTTTTGAAAAGCCAGAAAAACCTCAAGATCCAGGAGAGGGTTAGTCTGGCGCTCGCAATGTGCAAACTGTTACCAGTGTCTTTGTTTCCTTCATCTTTACTCACTACTTAGCAATGCATGTTTTACTCTAAAAAAAATCAGAAACTAAATAAAAAACAGATACCATGTGACTTTTTTCTTAGACACAATCAGACCCGAGTCTGTCTTCCTCTGAACTGTCTCTGTTCCCGACGCACATCCATGCTTGTGTTAAAATGTTTCACTACAAGACAAGGGGTCATCACCCATGAACTTCCTAATCACACTTAATTGACAAGATGATACAAGATTTTGCATTTAAAATACTGCAAGTAAGATACATTATTGGAAAACTGGATCTGAATGTTTGCTATTACAAAAAAAAAGCAGAAAAGAAAAAAAAATTAACTGAAATATTGAGAAATGATAAAACCAAGAAAGGGAATATTTAAAAAAAAAACCATTGAACATTACATCATTCCCTCATGAGTCTCCAAAATGACCGTTACACAGAAACTCAACAATTAAGAAATACTCATTTTTGACCAAATTATCTCTTTCCACTGGATTGTCACGCTAGCCGCGTCCCTTCTGGGCGTGCCGGGGATGGACGGCTGCTGTCCGGGGTGCGGGGTCAGCGGGAACAGTCGGTGTCCATTGCTACCAGAGGCGCGCACACTCCCCACCATTCCTGAACGCCATTTCACGCAGGTGGCTGTAAAACGCTTCCTCCTTCCCTCTGGTAGTTTTGTAATTTTACTGACGTGGCCTTGCTTCGCGTGGCCCTGCGGTGTTGGGGGCGGCACCCTCTGCGGGCAGGGAGGGCAGGAGGAGCCCGAGGGGATGAAGGAGGGAATGTAGGGAGGGGAGGGTCATCCTAGAAGCCAGGGAGGAAGGCAGGTGCCGGGGACTGGACCCCGGGGGCGCCCGCAGGATGTGGGTCTGAGCCTCCCGCCTTCTCCTCCGCCACAGGCCACGTGCTGAGGCCACAGGTCAAGCACCACGCATCTCACGCCTCCCCCTCCCCCTTCCATTTCCCTCAAGGATTTGGAAAAATTATGTTGAGCCAGACATGTTAGTTTCTCATGAATTAAATAAAAAGCCCCAGAGATGTCAGAGAACCCGCGTTCCCCCTGCTCAGGGCCTCCTGTCCCGAGGGGGAGTTCAGCGCGGTCAGACTGGCCTCTGGTGAGTAGAAGGTGCTTTGCAAGTTTTGGAAAAATGAAACGTTCTTCTACAGTTGGACGAGAGCATTTGTGTCGTTGGAGAAGCGTGGACATGGCGCCTTCCGCGGCGGCAGCCGGCGACCGCGCCGCCACACCTGTAGGTTCCCCCGCCAGTGAGGCTGGCAGCTGCCGACGTTCCCTGAAGGGTTCTGATCCTTTCCTCAGAAACTGGTGGCAACTTTCATCAGCTGAAGCTGCCTGGTTTGTGACCGTGTCTTCTTCCGTTTCCCCGCAGCCCCTAGAGCCAGCGCGGAGGGCGCCGCCAGCAGACAGGTGAGTGCCGCAGCTGCCTCCCGCGGGGACTTGCCGGTGTGACAAGCGCGCCCGAGCCCGCAGAGGCGGGGGGCAGACGGCCTTCTCAGCGAAGAGCCGTCCGGCGGGCGTGTCAGACCCGCGTCCGCGAGTGGCCAGAAGGAGCCTCGCAAAATTCCACCCGAATCAGCAACTTGAAGATTCTTTTTTTTTTTTTTTTTACTGTTTGATATTTCAGTTACTTTGTTGTTTTTAGAAAAAAGTTCAAGTCCTTTTGTTTTGTGGAAACATTTTTTTTAAAAAAACAATTATCCAGGGATTTACTATTTGTTTCTTCTAATTTGTTACGGAGATTGTGGGGAGACCCTCTGAGCATTCGGGGGAACCTTTCCACCTGGGCATCTTGATGACACAAACCTTCTGCTCCAGAAGGCATTTCCCGCACCCGCCCCGTGTGCTCACAGACCCGCCTCTGGGTTCTGACTCCCGGAGATTTGTGCAGTTACGGTAGCTGATCGGGCTCCCAGGCCACAGCCCTCCGGAGTCGGGAATGTCGTCCGGAGGACAAACAGGAGGGCGCGCGTTTCTCCCTCCCTCAAAGCCAAGGCAAGATCCTCCCACCTCGGGACCACTTGCCAGTGTGTAATCGATCTGGTCTTTCCCCGCTGCTCGATGTCGCGGCAGCAGGTCCCAGGGCGAGCCCTGTGTCTGTTGTAGGTTTTAAGCGGAGACCTCCGCACGCACCTTGGGTGTAATTTAAAACCATTTCATTAGGGAAGTCGTGTGATAGGGTTTTCTTTGCTTAGCAAGTGTTTACAGTTTGAACTTTTTAAAACCTACCGCAATTCACTTACACGTTAGAACAGGGCGGGTGGGAAAACGCTACCCTGGCTGAGGCGCCCGCAGGTCCCCGTCATTACACGGTGGTGACAACTGCCACACGGGCTCTCGGCCCAAAGTAAACTCTTTCGAGACACGGGGCTCCTTCTTCAGCTGTCTCCCGGAAGAAGGAGTGGGAGCACCTTCTCCAGCTCTTCTTACGGTGCCCAGGTGGACGGACGGACTTCCCAGCCGTTACTGTGAACTGTCACCCTGGACTAAGTCCCGTGCGGAGGCCGGCCGTGGCTTGCATGGGATAAAACAATGGAAGGCCGTGGGCATTTCTTTCTTTCCTTTTTTTTAATGCCCAGCTAGCGGCCATTTAGTCCGTCATGCGTGTTGACGTAGTGTTCAGTGACTCACCTGATCGCCTGACACTCAGTGCCATCGCGTCACGGGCCCTCCTTCGTACGTGGATGTTTCTTTGAAGAGAAAACATAGTACCAAGCACCGAATATTTCACTATATGAATAACCAGACGAGAAACGTTGAACCAGGGGGAGCCAGGAGGACCCCGGAGCTGGTACTGATTCGGAGAGCGAGCTGTCTTTCTCGAGATCTCTCCTTCCCGGCAGGACTCAGACGGGACCAGGGCAGTGCTCCCACGCCGACGCGGATGTGGGCTGTGGCGATACGTCAGCCGTCTCCTCCAACAGTTCCTTTTCTTTTTTTTTTTTAAGATTTTATTTATTTTTTTGACATAGAGAGAGAGGTGAGAGAGAGTATGAACTGGAGGGAGGGACAGAGGCAGAGGGAGATGCACCCCCACACCCAGGCAGGGGGCCCCATGCGGGACTCCATCGCAGGACCCTGGGATCATGGCCTGAGCTGAAGGCAGACATGTAACCCACTGAGCCCCCCAGGCAGCCCCTCCCACAGCTCTTCCAGAAGTGAGGCACGGTGGACGGCTTATCTTTACCCACGACAAATCAGAGCAGAACTTCCCTTCAGCTCGGTCAGGAGACTCCGTCCTTTCTCTTCCAACCTCCTCCTAGTATCTTTCTCCGGGGAGCGGAGCCAGCCCAGAGGCCTCCTAAATGTTTAATTACATTAAATAATGAAGCAGAAGCAAGGGTCAATTTATATCAGTAGGTATTGGTACACTTGGAAAAGTAGATGTGGAAGATTGTAGATCGCTTTTCCTTTTCATTCCGAATTACTATTAATTGGCAGTCAGGGCGCAGAGTTCCCGTTTTCAGCAGCAGACTCTCAGGTGCGTTTCTCCTGAGAGAGAGACTTGTAAATAGAATGGACGAAAAGAAAAATTAAAAATCAATGACGCCTTTACAAACTTGAAGCATAAATTAGATTATTACGATTATTTTGTTTCCTTTTCTTTAAAATTTTATTTATCCATTTGAGAGAGAGAGAATGAGAGAGCGAGCGTGAGAGGGAGGAGGGTCAGAGGGAGAAGCAGGCTCCCCGCCAAGCAGGGAGCCCGATGCGGGACTGGAACCCGGGACTCCGGGATGATGACCTGAGCCAAAGGCAGTTGCTTAACCAACTGAGCCACCCAGGCGTCCCTATTAAGATTATTTTGTATAACAAATCCAAAGGGACAGGAGACTGCATAGAACATTTCATGTACTGAATCTATTTAAAATATTTAAAGTAAATGCTAATTTTCTCAGCCGGTGTGTTTTCCCTGATATTCCTGATCACTGACAGAGAAGGAAGTGTTGGAGGTTAATGTTTGTTAATGTTTGTGTTTTTATTAATTCTTATGCCCCACATGACCAAACCAACACTCTTTCTTTTTGCATCTTTTAAAAAATATTGCTTTTGCTCTGTCGACAACAGGTCGGCTTATGTCGTCCCTAGAAGGGAAGCCTCGCTCTTCCCAGACACGGCATGGGAACGTCCTAACGATGTCTCTGTTTTTGTCTTTCTTTCAGCCGAGGAAGCAAGGATAGAGGCTCACACAGCCAAGGCCGTCCTAGACATGTGGGAGACTCCCTCACCAAAAGGCAATTAAAAAACAAAACAAAAACAAAACACATAGTATTTGCACTTTGTACTTTAACTGTAAATTCACTTTGTAGAAATGAGATATTTAAACAGACTGCTTTAATCTGTGAAATGGAAGGGCTGGCTTCAGAAAACTAATCACATACAATGTATGTGTCCTCTCTTGACCTTGGAAATCTGTACTTGGCGGAGATGTGTTTGGAATGGCTTTCAGCTTGATTTCTTTATCCTCCACATGTTGACATGGTAGAAGTCTTGGCCTCAGGCACCGCGGTCCCAACCCCGTGCCTTTCTCCCCGCCGGGGCTATCCCTCCCAGTGACCCCGCGGTCGCTGCCTTTGAGACCCGCAGTGCCGCAGGAAGCTTCCTTAGAAGTGTGCGATGCGCTGCTGTCCCCATGCCGCGGCCAACACGGGCGTGGGCTTGTTTGTTTCTTGGGATTCTGTGTTTGTTTTCTCTTGCTGTCCGGAGATCTTTTTCCCCCCGCGAGTCCCGCAACCACTAAGCCGTCTTTCCTGGGAGGAAAGGCTTTTTCCCACCCATCTTGATGAGCTGCTTTTCCTTTCCGAGCTTCTGTTGGAGCTTTGCCTTGGGCTCGGGTTAATCACGCCCTAAAGTACTCGAGAATGACACCCCCCACCCCCGCGCTGTCCAGACGCCGCGTAAACAGGCCCGCGGTCAGAGGACTGGATTTAGTCCTTGCCTGGCCGCCCTGGGCTCATCTGTCCCGCTGCCTCTCTTAAACGGGACCATGACCCGTCCTACCCTGCTCCACTCTGGGGCCTCCCTCAGGGTCAGATGATCACCCTAACAAAGTCGGAGTATCTTCCGTAGGGAAGGCTCATCCCGCAAAAGCTGGGGGCTGGACGCTGGTCTCGGCCACTGAGGACGAGTGCCTGCAGGTCCCGGGCTCCCTTCTCTCCCGGCGGCCTCGGGAAATCTGCGAGCGCTGCTGTGAGAACAGGGTCAGGAGCCAAAGGTCCACACCGTGACAGCAGGACTGGCCCGCAGGCACCACCAGCCGCCCCCAGCAAGCGGCCCCGGCGCGACAGAGCCGTTGGGAGGATGGTCCGAGGCTGTGCGGGCCAAATTGTGATGCTATTTTAGCTCCAACTTTTGGCCGGAAGAATAACCTCCGTGGCCCCAAATTCCACAACACGCGTCATGTAAAATGATCTCGGCATGGAGCTATTTTCTGCGGCTTCTTACTTATTTAAGCGGTAAAAAAGTAAAACCCGAAACTTAGGAGCCACAAAACCAGGTTAAGTGTGTGTCATCGCTGTTCAAGGACAGTTACGACCCTCAATTTATTGGATAATACTTTACATTTCTGAACTTTGAATTTAATCAGTTTTCTTAGATTCAAATAAAATATGCTATCAAAACTCTGTTTACTGTTTTCTTTCTAGCAAAATACAGCCCCTTGTCATTGCTTACTCTTCAAGCTGTCTGTGTCAAAGAGGCACAGACAATGGCTGGGGCCTGGGCGACCGAGTCCTGGCTCTGACCCTCTGGGTGTGTGACAGGGACAAGCTGCTCAGACTTTCTGTGCTTTCATTTCCTGCTCCGTGACACAGGGAGGGTGGCGGCCTATGCCTCTGGGGGAAGACTGTGTGAGCGGGTGTGTGCAGTGCTAAGGGCCCAGCACAAAGGGTACAGTGTTGGGCCCTGTCTTGGGAAGCGGTCACTCATTCACCGAGTACTGACTCAGAGCGGCCGAACGCATCTCTCGCTGCCAGATGCAACAGCGAGGACGGGAGAAACAAAGAAGGTCCTTACTCAGAGCTGTGGCCACTCACTCAGCCCCATAGTCCGCAGCCTGAAGGCTGTGCACTGTCCCTTTCTCTCCAGGCCCAGTGCCCTCTCCTAGGCGAGGCTCTTACATTTCTATTTCCTTTAGAATTCTCTCTTCCCTTCTGGAAAGTTTGTCCTCTCGCACACTCTTCTCTCTGCTCAGAAAAGAGTGATCTTGCTAAAATTCAACCTTAGCTAGTCCGTTGTGCAGGAAACCCACACTGGGAACGGAGCTACAGGAACACAGCCCTCGGGAGATGCCCGTGGGTGGGGTGGGGCCTGGACAGGGCTGTGGAGCAGCAGGGAGAGGATAAGGGGCTCTGGGAGTTGAAAGAGCTCCAATAACGGCAGGCGCGCAGGAGAGTCGAGGGGGGCCCGGAAGGTGGTGAGCGGAGGAGTGTGGGCTGCCGCACGGGTTCTTACTGCAGAGCACGAAGTTCAAATCTAGAACAGAAATCTCTTTCCTTCATGTACCTAGTGTGGCTGCTTTTAGTGATCGATGCCTCCCTCTCCAGCTCTGCTCATGTTTAAAAATGGTCTCCTACGTCCTTGTCAAAAACTTCCAAGTTAGAGATTTTTCAGAAGTGCCCTGACCAGCTCACAGACCATGCTTGTGAATGTTACACCTGGAATTTCCAAAAGATATCAAGGTGGAAGACACCAGCTTTTATCAATGTCCAGAAGGGACGGCCATAATCAATAACTGCCAAGGGGACGGAGACCTCATGCATTCACCAACGCTGTCCCAGAAAGGAAGAATGCATGTGGCACTAAGGTAGTGATGGTGATGACGATGGTGATGACGATGGTGATGGTGACGATGGTGATGGTGACGGTGGTGATGGTGATGGTGGTGATGGTGATGGTGATGGTGGTG